AACAAATTAACTCAAAAAATTACATTTTACTCATTAATCAGACATGAGAGTTTGTTATTTTGGTTTAATATTTTCAACGTGTGGCCTTTTCTATATCTTATTAACTGTAATTGTGAGTGTGTGATAGAATTCACTTTTATGTTTTCAAAAACAGTATTTTTCGAAAAGCCTGTCGGTTTATTATAAAGACTTGTACAGGTATATTTGCCATTATTATTATTTTTTTTTTTTACATAGGTCTGATGTAAATTCTCTATTCCACCTTATTGACTAATTTCTCTATACTGTTTTAATTACCATAGCTTCAAAATGAGTCCTATAGCTTTTTTTTCCTTATTATCATTTTTTAAAATCAACAAATAAAATTGTATACATTTATGGTGTACAACATGATGTTTTGAAATATGTATACATTGTGAAATGGCTAAATCAAGCTAATTAATGTATGCATTACCTCATACTTATCATTTATTTGTGGTGAGAAATCAACTCTGAGGTTTTTTCAGGTATATAATACATTGTTAGTAACTATAGTCACCATGTTGTACTGTTGCCATTAAATATTGATTCATTCTTAATGAAAGAACTTAAGAATTAGAAAACTGAAACAATGACTTTTCAAAGACAAATGATATCATTCTCCTCTTGAGAATGAACTTTTTTTCTAAATATATTATTATGAATAGAGAATGTAAAAAATAATGTGAAAATATGTTTGTTTAAATTATTAATATCTAAGTACTGTTCACTTCTGCCTACCATTTATCTTCATAGTAGAAAGTATCTTCAATGTTACATAAATCTTTTACTACTGTACCTTTACATTTTTAGGTGGCAAAAAGGTTGGCATTAATCCTAAAATTAATAATTTAATGCCAGGATATGAAGTTGCAAAGTATGATCTTATATGGATTTGTGATAGTGGAATAAGAGGTGAGGTTTTTCTTATTTATTTTGTAAAACTTCTCATTTGATGATAAAATGCCAAAAGCAATCTGAAAATACATTTATTAGTCCTTTTTGTTTACCTTGCAAAGTTATTATTTTGTCATTATTTCATGGTAATATGTTCAGTTATACTTACTCAGATTTTGATTTTTTTTAATCCTAACCTAAAATGTTACATGTACTAAAATGTTTTCATTTTGAAGAGACAATTCCATCCATTAAAAGAATTAGTCATGATCTGTTATACAATTTGCAAGCTTTCTCATGTGTGTAACTTTTCCCTTGTTTGTGTGACATTTATCTTTTACTTCAACCTGTTGTGGTTCACATAATACAATCTCACACAAAGGGACAGAAATCAATAGGTACACATTTTGCTAGAATACATTTATTAGAATACATACATAGCTTTTTACTTAGATGATTTTAGCAAGAAGCCTTTTATATACTAAAATTAAAATTTGCATTTTAAATATTTATACTTATAATTATTTTGGTATTTCATAGTATTTTGTTATGTTCTAATTAGCTCAAGTCTCAACCTCAACACTATTGACATTTAGGTCCTGATAATTCTGTGTTGTAGGGGCTGTCCAGTAAGATGTTTAGCAGCGTCCCTGAGCCTCTATCCAAAACAACCAAAAATATAACACCAAAAATGTCTCCAGACATTGCCAAATGTCCCCTGTGGGGCAAAATTGCCCCCAGTTGAGAACCACTAACCTAGAATATGAATACTTAAGGTCCAAATACAACTTTGTTTTATACAGTAGATTTGGGTTTTAAAGACTTGAAGGAAATAAAAAATAAATAAAGTCATGTAAAATTATATGGAGATGCTTGCTATTTGAAAATAGGGCAATGATTTAAATTTTTTTATTAGCTTAAAATGCAAATTTGAAAAATAAGTGTAGCATGCCTGTGAATTAATCAGAACCATTTTAGATCTGTCAACTCATGGTCACAGATTATGTTCATTCTTCACATTTGCTATCTTAAGTTAGCTACTATTATATATTTATGTTTTTCAGTGTACAAATCTCTGTTAAAAATAATCTCATTCCATGCTCGTTAGCAGTTCTATGAGATCAGACACATATTATACCCACGGAGAAAGTAGAGGCTTATTTCCTGTGGGTTGAGAGTAGAGAAGCCAGCACAAGAGCTGAAGTCTTTTGACCTCTGCTCCTGAACCTTTTTCACTCGGACACAATGTCCTTATTTCAGTTTGGAGGCTCTGACATGGGAGTAATAACATTTTCAAGGTATATCCTGCCTCTGGTACATATTAAATGTATACTGGGCTGAAAGTGTATAGAGTAAATTAGCTTATCATAAATTATGCCTTTTTGAAATTTTGTATTCTATTCAGAAAGGTGATTGAGATTCATTTTATTAGATCCCATTGTTTTTTAAAATTTATTTTTATTAAGAATTTAATAACAATTAACAAAATATATTTTACATCAGTGGGCATTTTACTAAAAAGAAATTTTTTTCTCTCCCCCTCCCCACCTTTTTTTCTTTTTTTTAATTGTAGTAATTCCAGACACACTTACTGACATGGTTAATCAAATGACAGAAAAAGTAGGCTTGGTTCATGGGCTGCCTTACGTAGCAGACAGACAGGGCTTTGCTGCCACATTAGAACAGGTAAGTTTGGTGGTTATAAATAATATTCATGTTATCAGATCCTTAATCTCCCAGAAGCATAAGACTGTTCTGAGTCTGAGAATTGGGACTAGCTACCTGAAGTTAACTATATTAAGTTCGTTTAGGAACCTGCTGTGTACTAAAACCCTCAAGTTGAGAGCAGCTATTTTCATTAGAGAGGAAATTCTTGGGCCCTTGGGATTACTTATTGCTGAGCTGACTGCACTCTGGCAGTGAACAGCTGTGCACAGGGCATGTCTTGTGGTCTTACTGTCAGCTGAACACAGTATTTTCTCTTTCCTTATGGTTCTCACTTTCAGTTCTAGACTATTGACTTACATAAAAGGACATGTTAGTATAGTGTTCTTTCAAAGATTTAATCTGAAAAGAACCTTTTTAAAATATGTAGTATTTCAAATATACAAAAAAAGGAAACTTGTTCATACAAGCCATTATAAAATGCTCTGATTTCCTTTTAAAATAGACTCCTAGTAATTATCTGAGAAACTTATTTTATGTTTTCCTTCTATTGTTTTCTCTTCAACTTATAACAGAAATATTAACTTCTGTGTAGGAAACTATAAATTATGGAAAATTATAAGAAGCAAAAAACAGAAAACCAAACAACCCATAACCCTACCAATTAGAGGAAGTTTCTATTTTAAAAGTTATGGTTTGTTTCTGTTTTAGCATTTTGGCATTTTGGATTTTTCTTTTCTATGAACCTTTTAAAAAACATAGTAGAGATAGTATTCTAAAAGTAATTTGTATCTTATTTTGTCACTTCATAAACTTTGCCACATCATTAATAACTTTTCGTGACAGTAATTTTTATTGGCTGTATCATAGTTTATCATATGTATGTCCCATACTTAACCATTCCTGTATTGTTAAACTTTTAGGAGGAAAAACTTGTCTTAATGGTATAAGGAAAGGATACATAGTTTCACTCTTTAAATATATCAACTTGCTCTTAAGCATATCTGCCTTTATGTTCTTTTGAATAGCCAGTCTTGTGATTGCCACAGGATCTGAAGGGTAAAGCTACATTGTGGGAACTAGTGTTTGACCTTTGGCAATTTGAACCATGAGCTCTTTCTTTAATATTGCCTACTAATATATTTGCCCTGCTGCAAGAAATTGTCAGTCTTAAATTCCAGAGTTTTTTGTTTAGTAAAAGAAACTCTGGGTAGCTGCCTTAAAGTACTGTATATTCTTAAATACCACATTGTATTTTTGTTTTAGAAATATTCACGTTAGTGTATAAAAGTCAATGGTAAACATTTCCCCGAACACACCCACAGTGTAGGTTTAATCCCTAGAAGTGACTCTGCCGTACTTAGAGTGAATAGAGATAGGCCAGGGGAATTACTCTAGTCTGTAAAGAAATCCTGGGAGCCTTCAACCTTAGTCTTTAGTCGTACCTCATTCCTAAGACCTCACTTAATAACTGCTTAGGGAATTAAATGTGTCCCACAGACACCAGGGCTTCATTGGAGTAGGGGCTTAGGGTAGGTAGAATCATTTTCTTAATCACCCCTTAAAATTCTCCTGTTCTGCACTGTGCGTGTGTAACTCCCACCACTGAGAAAGATCACTGCTCTTTATTTCAAGCTAACCAGAAAAGGCATCATATCTAAGGCATAAATAATAAATAGGGTTTTATGTCTGATAAGTAGAGTGGATGACAATCTTTTTTTCTTTACCATTGATTTATTAGCTTGTCAATCTCCTGACTTCGAAGTATATCTAAGGAAAGGGCAGTAAGAGACGGGAGAGAGAATGTTAGTATTTGCCTTATTTATGAAAAATACATTGAAAAACAAAATTGGGAAAATTGGGAAGAGTCTTAGTGACTCAGAGATAGGAAGCATCTACCAATGAAAGGATGCAAGAAAAGGAATTAAGAAATAGGATGGTCCTGAAGTTTGATATTCCTAAAGGTAGTATGTGTATATACACATATATAACTATGCATACAACTATATGTGTATATATCTGTGTGTATATACGTGTCTGTGTGTAGTGTATTGATACAAATAAAATTAGTAGGGGTGTGTGTTTGTGTGTGTGTGTGTGTATATATTATTTTTTTTTAAACGAACATCCTAAAAACAGGATACATTAAATATTTGTTAATATTTTACATGTCAGTGAGTGATAGTGTATATATATATATATATATTATTTTTTTTTAAATGAACATCCTAAAAACAGGATACATTAAATATTTGTTAATATTTTACATGTCAGTGAGTGATATTTTTACCTGTCTTATTTGGTATCCAAATTAACTTTTATTTGGATAAATATTTGAATCTTACAGTTTTAGAGAAGACAATATTTATTTGAGAATAGTATATGTGTTTCTCTCTAGAAGTAAATATTTCTTTGTAATGGTGATGAGTAGTTAACCAAATAAATTACTGACTGCCTGCTATTTGTAAACACTATTGTATGCCACTTTTAACTCAGGTAGTTTATGTAAGAATAATAGGATAGTCACTTAATCATATTTAAAGAAAATCATTAGGAAAAAAACCAGTTTATAAACACCATACTTTTAACATAAAATTCTAATTGTATATATTTGTGTTTTTTGGGGGCAGGTATATTTTGGAACTTCACATCCAAGGTCCTATATCTCTGCCAATCTAACTGGCTTCAAATGTGTGACAGGGATGTCTTGTTTAATGAGAAAGGATGTGTTAGATCAAGCCGGAGGGCTTATAGCTTTTGCTCAGTACATTGCTGAAGATTACTTTATGGCCAAAGCAATAGCTGACCGGTAAGAAAACTAAATTAAGCTGTAGTATTTTTAGTACCAAACTTCTGTTGGTTTGTCCTTTTTGTCTATTCCATGGGTTAGGGCTCTTTAATTTAATTTTCTATTTTGCTAGTGAATTCAGAAGAGACTGTTTTTAGTACCAAACTTCTGTTGGTTTGTCCTTTTTGTCCATTCCATGGGTTAGGGCTCTTTAATTTAATTTTCTATTTTGCTAGTGAATTCAGAAGAGACTAATAATTTTAGACAGTAATTCATATTAATTGTTCATAGATATGTACTAATGTAGCAAGTAAATGTTCTGATTCTTCTATATTCTTCAAATTAGTGTGGTTAGAAGTGATTATAAATTTGCATTAGTATAGATGTAAATTTCTGTGTTTTAGAAGAATAAAAACTTTCAGTGCAGCCATATGCCAGTAGGTAAAAATTTGAAGAATATTATTTCAAAATTTGAAATTTCACAGTAGATTTTTTGATGCATTGCTGAGAAGCCACCTAATGATTCATATGATTGACTTAGCATTTCTCTCACACAAAATATTTGTTTGGTTTTAAAGGGGATGACTGCTTTATGTGATCATTTATTGAAAATGTAGTTTTAAAAATTGAAGTATGTTTTTAAAATTCTCTCATCACAGTGTTCATGTGGTTCATGGTTTCCTAGTGTCTACCATAAGATACATAATACCACTTTTTGATTATGTTTCTTATTTCTTGTTGAATATTCACACCTTTTTCTTTTTGGTTAGCCGTCATCAGACGCTAAACTATTAAATATCGGACTTTCTCCATTTAGTACTTTCAGAATGACCACATCTTAAGTTTCTCAAACTATAAAGTGAGGTTATAGTTTGTTCCAGCTCTTAAATGGTACTGTCATGGGCCCCCATAATTGCTAAAACATCCATAAGTATGATATACGTTAAGTGGTGTACTTGTCCTGAGGACTGGGCTCACCCTGACTACCAGCAGTTGCTTACTCTTTATAGTGATTAATGAATGCATAACCAGTCATGCTTGCATGTGTTCACCATCATAGCTTATTTTATAATTGTCTTCATTTTCAGAGGTTGGAAGTTTGCAATGTCCACTCAAGTTGCAATGCAAAATTCTGGCTCATATTCAATTTCTCAGTTTCAATCCAGAATGATCAGGTAAACTGTCTTCTCTTTATACCTTGTTAAAAGAAAAGAGCAGGAGGGTGGCACATAATTTTTACATGGTCTATATCTAAATGTCAGATTTTTGTTTAATTTAATTCCAGAAGATAGAGTTCAACCTCTGTATTAAAATAAACTTGATGTCTACATATATTTTCTTTGTGTGTAACACTGAAAGCATTCAAAGAGATGTGGAGACTTTGAATTTTTTTATATGCTAACTTTTATTGAATTTTATAATCTATATTCATCAGAGTGTAGGCCAGACAAATGAATTTATAGACTTTTTCCCTTTGATTTACTAAATAAAAAGAGAAAAGAAATTCATTTAAGAAAACCTCTTTAAAGAGGAGGGTCTTTATATAACATGGTAAAAAGTTAATTATTTTGGGGAAAAAAATGGATTAGTCTTATAACCAGGCTGTTGTTTTAAAGAAAATCCTTTTTATTTTTTTAGGTGGACCAAATTGCGAATTAACATGCTTCCTGCTACGATAATTTGTGAGCCAATTTCAGAATGCTTTGTTGCCAGTTTAATTATTGGCTGGGCAGCCCACCATGTATTTAGATGGGATATTATGGTATTTTTCATGTGTCATTGCCTGGCGTGGTTTATATTTGACTACATTCAACTCAGGGGTGTCCAGGTATGTGGATAAACAGTCATTTGGTGTTATTAAACTATTTTAATTTAGAAAAGACTGAAGAAAATCTACCTGAGCCATTCTTAGCTTTCCACTGAAGATTAATATCAAGTTTAAGCATTACTTTCCTTAGTGGAAAGTTGATGCAAAACTTAACTTGATTTGCATCTTTCAATTGGTTATACAATCACTTTTATTATAAAGCCTCCAAAAAACAATGTTAAGCAAATCAAAGAGTATTCAAACTAAGAATATGTTAGGGTAGCAATTATTTTAATGCTGCTTCTACTAATAATTAACAGTTTCTTAATCTGTGTAGCATGGCAGTTAAATTACCTAAGGAAGCAGGCTTGATTTTATGTAGTATAGTTAGAAGAGTGAAATCCAAGAATTTCATTTTTTAATTGTATCTTTAGCCTGACAGTGAATAAATTAATTTTTTTTTTAATTCCTAGGGTGGCACATTATGTTTTTCAAAACTTGATTATGCGGTTGCATGGTTCATCCGTGAATCCATGACAATATACATTTTTTTGTCAGCATTATGGGACCCTACTATAAGCTGGAGAACTGGTCGCTACAGATTGCGCTGTGGAGGTACAGCAGAGGAAATCCTAGATGTATAACTACAGCTTTGTGACTGTATATAAGGAAAAAAGAAGTATTATAAATTATGTTTATATAAATGCTTTTAAAGATCTACCTTCAGTAGTTTTATCACATGTATGTTTTGGTATCTGTTCTTTAATTTATTTTGCATGGCACTTGTATCTGTGAGGGGTGGGGGAAACACATCTGTAGTCTTGGCCAAATGGTACATTTTATTTTGTGGAAGTAGGGAATCAAGAAAATTGGTTCTAGGAACCTAGATTTGTTTTTTGTTGTTGTTTGTTTATTTTTTTAAATAAATACATATATATATATATGAATGCTCTGCAACAAACACTATGACAGTATCCTTCAGTAGAGAAAGTTTCTTATTTGTGAGTACACTCTTAGAACATTTATGGGTGAGATGGCAGCAACTTTGTTTTGGGGTTTAGAAAAGACTAGAAGGTAATGACTTTTCATGTTTAAAGTGAATGGTATTATGTAGTGAACAACCCACAGTGAGGTACTAACTGAGAAACTTTTTCATGCTTTATGCCTACCTCTTGTTGTTGTTGCAGAGCAAATATAAATTGTAATAAGGAATCTAGGCCTTGCAAAAACAAATGGAAAAACTTTTTAAAAATATTAATAATAATAGAAGAGCTGGTGTCTAGTATTTACATGAATCTGCAAGAGAGATTTTTTGATCTCACTGCGATGAACCAAAAGTGGCTGAGTTTGGTTTTTAATTGTAACCATGTATTGAAGGCATCTTTTTGACCAACTCTTGTTGGTTCTGTCTCGAACCATTGTTAATCACTGTGCTGTAATAAGTATAGCTAAATCTTTCCTTCCCTGCTCCTTACCTGACCCACCCTACCTTTCCTTAACTTTTTTTCAAGGGGGGAGGGGGGTGGGTGGTTTTGTTTTAGTGTGAGTGGATGTTTTGATAGTTGTAAGGAAAAAATGCATTTCAGACACATTTCACACATGAACTATTTTCTTACACAGTATGTCTTATTGTTAATAAGAATGTAATTTCATGATACAGGTGTTTAATATCTTTTTTAAGTAAGTAAATATTCTAGCCATCAATAAATTGCAGTAGAGTATTAAGAGGGGACAGGATGAGTTTTACTCTTAAAATTAATCAGTATCAAATTAAGTCTACTGGGTGTGTGTGTGTGTTTTTTTTTTTTTTTTTTTACTATGATAGTCTAGTCTTATTTAAATTGGATTTTTGTATTCTAGTTTGTATGACAAAATAGACTAGATCAGCTCTGGTTGTAAATGCATGCTCTGCTTCACTCTTCTCTCTCCATCAGGCTGCTAAACTTGCTTATCAGGTTGTGCTTATCTCGTGGTGAACTGGACTTGTTTTTGTTTTTTTAAAAAAAAAAAAAGCAAAAATGTAAGGGGCAGTGCATAAGCCTTTCTTTTTTTTTTTTTTTTTTTTTTTTTTTTTGGGTGTGGTATTTTGCTTTTTCTTCAGGATTGGATGGCATGTTGTCCATATGAATGCCTACTGCAGGGCTGACACTGGCAATATGGCAGCTTAAATTCTCAGTTACTGTGGTTTCCATGTCCAAGCATAATGTGTAGCATATTAGCAATAACTACATATTTATAGAAAATGAACACTTTTTCACTTTACTGAGCCAATTCATTTAATTGATGACTATATACATGGTTTAAATTGCAATATATCTATAAATGTGTATATACTGTGTATACACATTATATTATGCTCCTCTCTGGGCCAAACTGCTTCATCCAAAAATTTTTTTTTTTTTTTTTGCCTTATGATGAATTTGTTTGAAGGGCATTTTCTTCATGAACAAAGGCTTGGATGCATATTCCTTTCTGTGTGTGAAGTGAGTGGTATCGTTCCCTGAGGAAAGTTGCACAGTGAAAACCAGTCTAGTTGTGACCCACTGCCTGTTTATTTTTTTTTTTAATCACTGTTCCATGAGTTGAATTTTGCTGACCATGTTTATAATGTGTTGGTTTGTTTAATGAAGTTTGGTTGATGCCATCCTTTGCACTGCTGAAGTGAAATCTTGCTTATTACTTAGCTTTTTGTTGATCTCAGTATGGGCAATGTAACAACAAAACCAAAATGGCTGGACAGACTTCTTGTGTTTTGTAAATATGAATAATGACTGTTCTGTATGTGTGTTTTACATGGCAGTGAAGTGTTTCCTTAAAGTGAAGCTTCACTTAAGTAGACAGAGTGATTCTTTGTTTAGCAAGTTTGAAGTGATGATAAAATGGTAAGAATAATACAAATGTTGAAGAAAGCATCACAACAGAACTGTAGGAGTCCAAATTAAATAAACTGTCTAAAAAAAAAGTGTCTAGAATATACCATGTTTTATTATTTAATATTATTGTCTTAAGTTTTTTGTTCAAAAAATAAAAATTGAATACAATCAAAATATTAGCAGTAATGTAGTTCTTGTTTACTGTCTTTCTTTTTATTTACATTTTTATAAATACTCTAACACCTTCCACCATTCATCTAAGAATTATTAGAAGAGTTCTGTGAAGTGTTAATTTTGAAATCTTCCTTCCACCTGTGCTACAGGCAGTCGTCTGACAAAGTAGGATTTTTCTACATTGGTTGCATGTTCAAATCACCTGGTGAACTTTAAGAAAAATACAGATGCCAGGATCTACGCACAGAAATTCTGGTTTAATCACTCTGGGTGGGTCCTGAGATCTGCTCCTGGCTCTACTTATTAACATTCAGAAAAGACCCAGTGGTCACTGTGGCCCCTCCCTCCTGCGCTCACAACCTGGACTCAGCCTTTTAGATCTTTCCACTCCAATGGCAAGGAAGGGTAAATCCAAGGAAAGGAATGGAAGGGCGTTGCCACTTGAGACCCAAATGGGAGAAGCTAAGCTGCACCCCACACACTGTCCGGGGTCAGGCTCCTCCCATGCCAGAGACATTCCCAGGCTTGTTTTACCACCAGCCCTTGAGAAAGAAATACTCTTAACTGGAGAGCAAATCCCAGGGGAGAAAGAATCTGCTACAGACTGAATGGGTCCCCCTGACCAAGTTCATATGTGGAAACCTAATCCCCAGTGTGAGGGTATTTCAAAGTGGGGCCTTTAGAAGGTCATGAGGGTGGAACCCTCATGAATGGGATTAGTGCCCTTATAAAACACCCCAGTGAGCTCCCTCACCTCTTCCACCCAGCAAGAAGATGGCTGTCTGTGAACCAGCCATCTAGTTCATTTTTGATCAGATTTGGTGTTTGGGCCCTCACTAGACACCAAATCTGCCAGAGCCTTGGTCTTAGACTTTGCTTCTTCCAGAACTGTGAAAAATAAATTTTTATTGTTTATGAGTCACCCAGTTTATGGTATTCTGTTATAGCAGCCATAGCTGACTAAGTTAGAATCTAGAAGGGATCTGGCTGGGGCTGCTTAGAGGCTCCATTCTTAGCACCTTGACCTGGTAAACAAGCTCATTCCTCCTAGTTTGTATACGTCTAACTCTGAAGTGTAGGGTTAATTGATAAACAAAAAGTTGAGTAAGTCTTAGAATTTTATAGTTAGGTGAATCTCAAAAATTCCTCACCCTTATTTTAGAGGGATGAAGCGGAGGCACCCGCTGTGAGAGTTGTGATCATGAGAGTTGGGTGCTGTGGCTTTGGTGGCACAGCTGAGATGAGCGCCTGTGTATATCAGGTTCCAGTATTGTACGTTTCTCCACTGGGTCACATTGTTTAAAGTTTTGCCTACAACAGCTTTAAAACTTATCTAAACCTTAACATGAAAAAAAAATCCATAGCTTTAATAACACCTGTATTTTTTTAAAGGAATATAAAAGGATTTATTGACCAGCATTTAGAATAAGCAGTATACAGTTGGGTAACATTCTGATTACTACAAAGTTATAGTTTTCCTGGCTTCTGCTGAACCAGTAACCCAAATACTGAAAGATTTGAGCCTACATGTAAGGAATGAGTAGGGATAAACAAAAACCATGCAGGTTGGTAGTTTGGTTTATAAGTTTGTTTATCCATTTATGCCAGCAGATCCTAAACTGCCAGCGTCTCTAACCATGTGAGTGTTTTCATGAGCCAAGTCTTAGACATTCCATAAGTCATGAACTTTTAGTCAATACAACACAGGGATTTCAACTTTTTGTAAAGGAATGGCTCGCCAGAGGAATCTATAAATGTCCTTTTAACTTAGTCTTGCTTAGCTGATTAAAACACCAGGATTTGTCCGGTTTCCTCATCTGGATAGGTTGTTGGTAGTGATTAATTTTGCAAATAAATGGTTTCACTTATACAACTATAGATATAGATTCTGATATGGCTCTGGTTTTAAATTATCCAATTGCAGAATCATCTATTTAATTTGAAAGGTTATGGCTTCAGAAAAAATTCAACTCGGGCCGGCCCGGTGGTGCACTGGGTAAGTGCGCTGCTTGGGAAGCACGGCGGCGCTCCCACCTGAGGGTTCGGATCCCACATGCAGACCGGTTCCTGCTCACTGGCTGAGCGAGGCGCGGGAGCAACGCCAAGGGTTGCGGTCCCGTTGCCGGTCCCCGGTCCGGTGCGGGGGCAACACTGAGGGTTGCGATCCATTGCCGGACACGGAAAAAGACAAAAGACAAAAAAAAAAAAATTCAACTCAAAGTGATTTATTTCTTAGGTTGTTCAGAATGATGGCATCTCAGAAACATGAGCTTACCCCATGGTTTTTGCTTCAGTGAATGTTTAAAAGCAAATTTAAAAAGCCATTTATATATGTAATTCATGTATGCACACACACAAAAACAAACCCAGAATGGTCCTTAGGCATATGAGTTAAACACAAGTTCTGACTGAGTAATGACTATTTAAGTTTCCCCCAACATTTAGAAAAGGTGTTCGCTGATGCAGAGGAAATAATATACCATGGTATCAAATGTCCTTTTCTGATAAAGGCGGTAACTACAGAAAGCTTTTATTTGTTCAAAGTAACCAGTGCTATTGATGCAAAAGAACTCAACAACTCCCCTAATACTACTTTCAAAACGAACACATCAAACATGATTTTTATTAGAATGTAGTTATTTCTTCATACTAGTAAATCAAAAACTGAGACCC